GATTTATGTCAATGTAATACAGTCTAGAATCATTTGGGAAGTCTCTCAGTTGAGAAAAGGCTTCCATTAAGACTCATCTGTATACAAGTTTGTAGTGAGTTTTCTTAATTTGTAATTGCTATGGGAGGGCCCAGACCATTGTGGATGGTGCCAACCTTGGGAAGTTGGTCCTGGGGTGTATAAGAAAGTAAACTGAGCAAGCAATTCAGTAAGCAGAATTCCTCCATGGTTTGATTCTTACCTCCAGGTTCCTGCCCTGAAACCTGATAGACTGACCTGAGAATTCTAAGATGAAATAAACCCTTTCCTCCCCAAAGTGCTTTTGATCATTGCCTTTTAACCCAGCAATAGAAACTCTAAGACAACTGGCACCCCACCCCACACATAGGCAAATAAGTAAAAGAGTAATAATACTGAAAAACAGTAGAATTAAGAGAAATAGATAAAACCACAAGAATACAAGGAAGAGTGTGACTAATGAATGCCCTATCACTACAAAAAAAAGAGCCCAAAGAATCATTATGGATATTCAAGACACTCGAAATGTGCTGGTATGCGTACTGCAAATATGTGATGGCATTCTGGATGCATTTAAAGATGGAAAATCAAATAGCAAATATTGTCCACCCTGGTGAAGCTCTGTCAAATCTCCCCTTGCCAGATGCTGCCTGACATGTCACTTTTGCTGGATTACTTCCCCTTCTCTGTCTTGCTTTCCCTAGGACTTCAAGGTTTAAAGTTTAAACCTACTGGTTTAAAAACATAGATCACTTGCATACAAACCCTAGGCTCAAGGTCTCCTTTTGATAAAGGCAACTTAAGACAATGATTTCAGAAATCACACGACAAAGGTAACTCATTACAATTCTAAAGAAGTGAGAAATGAATCAGTACTCTTTGACATTCTTTGTTTATTAATTCTTGTCTGATACCATGCAGGGAATTGATTTCACATGTAATTAACAAACCAAGTCCTCTGAAAACAACTATTGTTGTCTATCCTGACTCTCAGAGGAATATGGATACATTTTTCAAAGAGTGTCTTTCCTGAGCATACAAACAGGAAAACATCATATTACTAGTATGATAAATTACTTAGAAAATGGAGATGGGGATAGAATAAGTACAGCGATGGGTAGGAAAAAGCCATTTCTTTAAGAAACAACAAAGGACAAAATACTGGGCTTTAAAAATGGTTGCTATGACAAATGGAAGAATAGACTGACTTGATGGAAAGAAATTGGGCATTTATGCAAAAAATCAAGATGCTTTAAAGAAAACACATTGCCCTTGAAAATATCTTTTAAAGCACTTCTGCCTGCCATCTCTGGATACTGGCAGTTTTGGCAGATATATAACACAAGTACATTTCTGAAATGTCTCTGAATTGATTTTGTACAGTGTGGGTTCTTTTAATTATGGCAACAAAGGAGAATATGCACAGCAAAGGTTTTCAGTACTTAATTTCCACATTTTAATTTTAAAGACGATAATTATGTAGATTCATATTTCTATAGAGGAGACATTACCAAGACACTTTCAGGAGTTTTCCTGGTTGTTGGTACAAGTCAGGCTGCAATTTAATAGAAACTCACTGAAAATTATTAAGTGACTTAAATGTGCTTTTTGAAAAAAATCTTATTTGCTTGTGGAAAACTAATTGATAATTAAGTTTAGATTCTATAACAGGAAGATTAGATGCTCATCTTTGAACAACAAAGAAAACTAATCCTTGAAGTGTATGATCCTATTGATATCAAAAGATTATTTACTTGAAATTTAAAATCTGAAAAATGGTACTTAATAATAAAATTTTACTTATGTCACTTATTAGAAATAAAATGCTTACTTTCTTAGGAATACAAACGATGTTATACATTTTCTTATGAACTGCCCATCATTGGAGGTGGGAGGAAGCAAATAGTTTTCAGTTCCCACCCTAAGCTCCAACATTCAGTCATGTTCTAAACTACATGGACTTCTTCATACTGTCTGTACAATCTACAGTAAAAAGAGAATGGCAGTGTCCTGGCTATCAGTGCCGATTACCTTCTGCTACCTAGAGGTTTGTCCTCGACATCAATTATCCCAAAAGACAATACATTAAAAGACAGAACACTAAGATGGGCATGCATGGGAGAGACAAAGATGAAGATAGACTTGGATGTACATACATGTATAAGGAAGATAGTTCACTTTCCTTTCTATTTCTATATCTCACATATAAGTTTAAGATGATCATATAAATTGTAAATAAAATAGTATACTATATATCTCTACAGAGAGATACACACAAATATACACACATATAGTTAAAAACCCATAGAAAAGCAGCAAACTTATTTATGATTAGAGTGACATTATTTCAAACAAAGAACAGTTCAACATACACATGTGCATTTATCAGTCCAGTGCTTGACATGTCTCCAAATACCAGGTCTTGGTATGTCTGTGCCTAGAATATGCCTTGACAGTAAAATAGTAAAAGTCACTTGAAGGAAAATTCTGTAAAATCAAATTTCATTTGGACTCCATATATCTATTCATTAAATTTATTAAGTTCTTGGTAGAACTTTTTCATTATTCTTTGGGACTCATTAACAGTTCCATTAAGAGCTAGCATTTTCACATCGGGATATCTTATTTTTAATTATGTTCATGTATGTATCTGTGTGTGGACATACGCATGTGAGTGGGCAGTCAGAGGTGTCAGATCCACCTAAAGCTAGCTAGAGTCACTGGCAGTTGAGAGCCACTCAGGTCCTCAGCACAAGCAGTATTCTCTCAAATCCTGGGCCATCTCTCCAGAGTCCCTCATGCTGAGATTGCTATTAATGCATTAAGAAGCTTTGTGAGAATTCTATTAGGATTAAAATAAAATGGTAACCAAGCTAGAAGTCCAGTCCAATATTTCTCTGGTATTCCTATGGAGTCAGTAAGTCTTCAGGCTTTTAAGAAGGTCAAACTAATTTCATTCTTAGTGGTAAAGTAATAAGATTTGGTGAAAAAAGCCATACTTGCAGATTAAACATTTGTAGAGTATTAAAACAATATTATTCTTTGCACTTATTGGCCTCCCTGACTTTCAGGTTGAATTCCTGAAGTTACATTAAATTCATTTGAACCAAATGCTTGCCTTATTTTCTTTTCTCTAATCTTTCTCCATCCTTCTCTTCCCCCAGGACTGAAATGAAAGAATGAACCTCCACATAAAGGTGGAAGGCAGTTTCTTAGCTGGGGTGTATGCGTTATTGATGTTACTAAGTTTAGGCTTGCTTAGTGGCATATTTCAGTGGACCTAGGCAAGTAGAACAAAACAATAAATCTGCACTTTAGTTTTTCAGTCATCACACAAAGATCAACTTAAAGAACTTTTTGCCAGTTTTCAATGTTTGATAAAAGTCATAGTAACTTTGGATAATGGCATACATTCTGACAGGTCAGAATGGTCAGTAAATGTCAGGCTGAAGTAGTGTTTTTTTTTTTTTTCTGTTCCATTTTACTGGTGGGGGGTGGTAATGGCATGAGTGCATTTTCAAAAGGGTAATCAAAATAGCTGTAACTATTACAAAAGTATCTGTTGTGGGATGTTTCCAGGCATGGCATGGCCACTGTTACACTCACAAACAGTAGATAGCTTTGATTATTATCAGTAGGAGACCTGCACTAGACTGGAAGTATTCATTTTCTGTTGTGGAGGTAGGGAGGGGTTCACAAAGTCTTACGCATCCCTGAGAATTAATAAACAACTAACAGTTACTAGAGGAAGAGAGCTCATGAGGCCACCCATTTTCCCTTCCCGAATACATAGTCTGAAGGCTGCTGGGGTTGGAGGTGAATTCACAAGCATATGCGTCAGCTTCCTTAATCTTTACAGCAGTGCTATAAGGAATCATGTTATCATTATTGCTTTGTTGATGAAGAATATAAATTAGGAAAATGGGGGGCAGTAGTAGCTAGTTCTTCTATTAGTGGAACAAAATTACCTGAGATGAAAAAATTAAAAAGAATGTGCTTCTTTTAGTTTAAATAAAAAAAAATGGAGGGAAAGAAAAATTAAAAAGAAAGGGTTATCATTCAATGGCTGCTTGGTTCTGTTTTTGGAGATTGTAGAAAAATATAATGACAAGGGGGTGTAGTAAAGGATGCTTTATACACCTCACGGTGGTAAGAAAGCAGTATCCAATAACTCCCTTAAGGGTCCCTTTTGGTGACTTAAAAATGCTAGCTATATTCAACCTCTTAAAGATTCCACTCCCTCCCTTAGGGACAATGTCTTCAACACATTAACTTTTGGGGAACACACTAGATATGTCAGGTTTGATTGCATGATGTCAGTCTATGGGTTTCAAAACTTGACCCCCAGATGGTGGTATTGCTTTGACAGTGTATAGACGCTTTCTAGGCACAAGGGTTAAGTGTTGACTGTAGGGTTGCACAGGTGAAAGTTGAGAGCTCCATAGGCCAGCTCTGCTTCTAGTCCATTTTTCTTTTTTCTGGACTGCTGAGGTACCATATCCCAGCCATCATCCTTTCTTCTTCATGCTGGATGACATTCTCTGAACTAGAAGCCAAATTAAGTGTTGTCGTCCGCCCCCTCACTTGCTTGTACACTTACAGCAATGTAACAGTAACTAATACTGTAGCAAGTTTCTCAAAGACACAATTAGACATTCCACACTTGGGGAGTCCTTCTTCCTAGCTACTAGGCTTGCTGTTAAAAAAAAAAGAGTGCTCTCCTAATAAAAATAAATTACAAAAAAATGAGTGCTCTCATCTCATTAGCATCCTATTATTTGCTCATTTCTATCCTCTTCCCTGGCTAAATGGTATAGTGCCAAAGACATTTTCAAATGTTTGGGCTACTTCTGGAAAGTCATAAAGTCCCTGATCAATATATGTCTCCAGTGCGACTGTCAGATTTCCAATCAAAAGTACTGCAAACAAATAGAAAGCAGTCAAAAAGGGCAAGGCAAAACCAAACAAACAATGCACATTACCTTATTCTCTTGTCTTCCACTTTCTTCAAATATTCATCTCTCTTTAGGACTCCCAGGATCATCTCCTTCTCATGATCTAATAAAAACGACAGGTTGATGAACTCTGAGTTCTTAGACATGGTTGCGCAGCAGCAGCTCTGGGTGGCAGCAGTTGAATCCTCCAGAAGGCAAATGGGTAATTACGATTGTTAAGGCTCCCCGTGGCCAACCTAGAGGTGCAGCTGTTTAGTTAAAAGGGTTTTTATAAGGTCTCCACAGATTTGCTGATGAGTGCTGGGTATTCTTTCAGGTTACAGATAAAGTGTGTTCTACTGAGATTACAGTCCATGAAAGTCATTATTGTTTGCACTGAAGAAAAAAAAGAAAAACAGTTCTCTAAAGCCTTTGCTGCGATCACCAGTCAGGAGCTCCAACTCACTAATGATGTTGAACTTTGATCTCTCAAAAAGCTTCAGAACAGGAATCAATTCCTCTGGGCCAAGAATGTAGAAAACACTGAAAAGGTAGAGAAAACAAAGATGAGAAAGATTAATTAGGTCATAACACACATAGAACTTAATTATTTAATTTTTGAAATATTGGTATTCTTAGCTCAAGCACAACTTTCAAAATAATAAAAAAATACATGGTGTGTGTGTGTGTGTGTGTGTGTGTGTGTGTGTGTGTGTGTGTATTTAGTACTAGTCACAGTTCTAAGTAATCACTGAAAGTGTTGGTACACATCTCCAGATAGAGGGGATAACCATGCTGAAGAAGAGACGCATTTAAACACCATCGGAAGGTTGCCAGGCCCTAAAGATCATGTCCTTAACTTTAGTTTTGTACTTGGATTCTCTTTTCATAATCCCTTAAGAATGATAATTCTTAAAGTTGTTTTCCAGATTAGGGGACTGCTAGAAGTACTCTCCCTCAGGGTCTCTTCACACCTATGAACTACAAGGTGCATAGTTTCCTTTGTTCTTGCCAGGCTTCCAGGCATAACTAAATACTATTCAAAGGCAGCTATAGGACAGCCGTCTGCCCATGATGTCAAACTGACCTAAAAGATGTTAGTCCATTCAAAAGAAAAGGATCTTTTTCAGAACCTCTGTAACTTTTCAAAGCCACTAACGTGTTTGCTGCATCTAGTGTGTACCAACCAGAACATTGCTATAATGACTCCAAATTGAAATGATTCCTACAGATCAAGAAGTAGCTTATTTGAGGAAATGTTCCTGGTCCCTCCAGACTGGACTTACTCGAGGCCATTTGCCAATCTGCAAAGACCATTGCATTAAACTGTGGGGATTAGAAACGAAGAGGAAGCAGCAAGGGCAAGGACAAAGAAGACCCTATAGAAAACAACCCTCGGCATTTTCTGCTTGTGTCAATTGCTGTTTCCCCAGACAAAGTACACAATTTGCTTTTCCATCCTTGGGTGTCTCATTTGTTTTTTAAACTGAAATGTAAAAACTAATCAGAAATTCGGTGCCTGACTATATCATGCATGTTTACTTGCAACGTACTTTATACTTAAAATGTCAGATTTCATATGTCCTACATGCATATTTTACAGAATATATATAAATTTTGTGGTAAGAACTTTTTAAAAAAAATTTATTAGTTGAAGTTAGGAACAAGCTTGCTTCACATGTCAATCCTTTCTCCCTCTCCATTCCCTCCTCCCCCTGCCACCAGAATATATTTCTTAAAAATATTCAAGGGGTTGGGAATGGTTGAATTCAATTAATAGTTTTGCATGTCTTGAACTGCAGATAGAAGTCTGAACTCTCAAATTCTAAGAGTTTGTCCTGTGAGTGAATCAAGGAAGAGAAGATGTTTGCTACCAAGCCTGATGATCTGAGTTTAGTTCCTGTGAACAACCATGGTGGACGAAGTGAACTGACTTCAGTGATTTGACCTGTGACCTCTATGTGTCCTGCATGTGTCCAGCCAATTACTCAATAAATAAATGCATGTAAAAATTGATAAGGGAAAGGAAGTAAACTATGAAGGTGATGGAAAGAGGGGAATTCAAAGAATTTAACAGAAACAAAATTAAATCAACTGCTTGCAACTAGCAATATGATCCTTTTGCCCGTAGGTGGACTAATAGGCTAATATATTAGTTACCTGGGTTACTGTATAAAATAGTGACCAAAAAGATCATAAGTAGTCAAAACTCCATTTAGAAAGTCAGGATATGTCCTCTGGAAAGCAGGACTGGACGGTGATTATAATTTAGTAAGATAGAATCTTACCAAAGATCCTGGAGAAACACAGGGTGGAAGAAAGAAGATGGTGATCCCGTGCATAGATAAGGGAGACTAAAGGAGATAGATGCTCCTACCATCAGGAAAGAACCACCTGGCCTCCAAGCAGAAATAATTTGCTACCTGAAACATATGTTCCATACTCACTGATGGGACCTCTGTATAGAAAAATTTCATATCATTAATCACTAAAATCACACAGCTACTTCCTTGCTCAAATTTCATTTTCTTCTAGATCCTTCTTAGATTAGCTTATCTTCCCAAAGAGTTCTCCCTTCAGGAGTGAATGTTCTAGTCCTGTCTGAAGTCCTGTCTGTGCTTAGTTTAGTTTGAAACCATATTTCATTCACTTATTCATTGTGTGCTGGCAAAATTGCATTTCTGAGCATTTGCACTGAGGACTAAACTGTGCTGCAATTAGTTTACCTAACTAATTTATGAAACTCCTCCTCAGCTAGACTGTATCTCTACTTTCGGAATCCTTTACCACCAATACCCTTTAATAAAGCAAAAGAAAAATGAGAAAATGAGTTAGCAATTCTCATCCTATTGGTTAAATACATTCTGAACACTAGTCAGATTAGAAGGGAAAATTCATATTTACTTTATTCGTACTTTCTTATGTAAATAGAGCTGTGGGCTTACACACTTCAAATATGTATTTCTCCTGGTGTAGTCAATAGCCTTGATGAATTGGGCTAAACTCTTCTGCTTGGGACATGGTCACTTTGGATATGTCATTAACTCTAGTGGTCGTCAAAAATGTTACATCAATAATTACCACAGTTTCAGATAGACACATGAGGGTTTTTTTTTGTAATTAGTATCTGTTTTAGATAACACACAGTAGAAAATAACAAGGGCTAATAATGACTGAGTAAAAAAAAAACCAGTCATGTCTGAGTAGATCTAATTCCTATTTTATTAAAAACAATCTCTCCCCCTCCCTCTCTCTCCACCGTCTCTCTCTCTCTCTCTCTTCTCTCTCTCTCTCTCTGTGTGTGTGTGTGTGTGTGTGTGTGCAAATGTACGCCATGTATGTGTGGGTGTCCTTGGAGGCCATAAGAGGGTACTGTATCCCCTGGAGTAGGAGTTACAGATGCTTGTGAATTTCCCAATTTGGGTGCTGAGAACAGAGTTTGGGTCCTCTGGAAAAGAAGTTTTCCTTAACCTCTGAGCCATCTCTCCAGCTCCGCTAGTAATTATTTTACTTGACACTTTAAAACAGAATGTTTATGAACGACCTCTTAGTATAAAATTAATAAAAAAAATAAAACCAATCTCTGTTTGCTTCTGTGTGACAGCATAAGAGTCAGACAGATTTTGAACATGCTTAGATGTTTAGAACACAAGCCAATAACATACGTACAGTTTGCATATGAGAACTTTCAAACACTTATGGTGACTCCACAGGCAACTCTAACTGGAGTACCACAAAAATTCACACAAAAGACTTGGAAAAAGGGAAAACTACAATAGAAATGATCATGAGGTCAGGAGCACAGAAGCAGCTCTTTCTTTACAAAGGGTTGAAAGGCATATGCTATGAATTGCAGGTGTTGTTTTCAGTAGAGCACCCTACCCTTGTGGACAAGTCTATGTGGCACATCATCAATAAGTGGAGTAGCTCAGGTTTCTTTTTTTATTTTACAGTAGTATTGTTTTCTCAAATAACCGTGCCATTAACTTTAAAATACTGGGACTTATTTTGTGTGGTCCAGGCTGGCCTTGTATGTATGTGCCTCAGGCTTCAGCTTTGCCATCATTTCTTTGCATCTTTGGCTAAGATTAAGTGTTATATAAACCTTTGAAGAATTCAGAAATGCACATACATGCATGCAAGTAACTATAAAAGAATGAATAGTATGAACTAAGCCAAAACACTAAGCCTCTGTGTAGTTGGTTGCATCATGAATGTTTTGTGTTAGGAATTTTTTACATTTAACACTTTTCTTTGGTGAATCTATCTCCTCTATGGTGTCTTTAATTCCTGAGATTCTCTCTTCCTCTCTTAAATTCAAGGAAGCTGGGCAGTGGTGGTGCAGGCCTTTAATCCCAGCACTTGGGAAGCAGAGGCAGGCAGATCTCCGTGAGTCCAAGACCAGCCTGGTCTACAAGAGCTAGTTTCAGAACTGGCTCCAAAGCTACACAGGGAAACCCTGTCTCCAAAAACAAAACAAAAAACAAAGAAGGAAGGAAGGAACCAAGGAAGGAAGGAAGGAAGGAAAGAAAAATCAAGGAAATCTGGGACACTATGAAAAGACCAAACATAAGAAACATGGGAATAGAAGAAGGAGAAGAAACCCAGCTGAAAAACCAAGAGAATATATTTAACAGAATCATAGAAGAAAAATTCCCCAAATGAACGCAGAACACATGCTTATAATGGTACAAGAATCTTACATAACACCAAAGAGGTTGGATCAGAAAAAAAAAAACCCGTGCCACATAATAATCAAAACACTAAGGATACAGAACAAAGAAAGAGTATTAAAAGTAGCCAGGGAAAAGGCCAAGTAACATAAAAAGGCAGACCTATTAGAATCATACATTATTTCTCAATGGAGTCCCTACAAACCAGAAGGGCCTGGACTGATGTCTTACAGACTCTAAGCGACTATGGATGCCAGCCCAGACAGCTGTCAATAACCATAGATGGAGAAGAGAAGACATTTCATGATAAAGTCAAATTTAAACAATATGTACCCACAAACCCGGTCCTACATAAGATACTAGAAGGAAAACTCTAACCCCCAGAAGTTTACTACACCTACAAAAACACAGGTAGTAGATAATCTCCCACCAGCAACCCAAAGAAGGTAAACATACATAATGCACACACACACACACACACACACACACACACA